TTTATGGGTAATGTCATGCCACAATGATCTTCAACAATTTCGTTTATTTTTGTACGGAGCTTTTGTCTCTAAATGACGTAGTGCTCTTGCGCTGTGCACTGGTGACGGCGGAGCAGAGGATTATTCGCTGTATGTTAGTTATGAATCTGTTTTGACAGATTTGGAAGAAGTAGCTGTCGCTGATATGTGTGAACTGTAATTGCCGTTCCGGGAAGGATTTGATGCCACTCTTCGTGCTTGGCTCATGCAACGCAAATTTGTTTTGCGATTCGTTGGTGACGTTTGGACCCATTGCATTTACCGTGTTGGATAGGATGGTCATTGATACCTCCGGTTAAGGCTCTTTGGGCATATACATCGGAAGCAGTTGTGCAGTTTCCTTAATTACTTTATCCAAGATATCTCCATTTTCTTCGATTTCTGGTCTCTGCGCTGGCTTTTTTCACTATACACCTACTCTGTATGTTCTGCGGCATATGTGGCAGCTTCGGACAGTGTTGGCAATGTGCCTTTTTGCACGGCTGTTGTGCTCTTTGGCAAATTCTTTTTGCCAAATGAGCACAATCTACAGCATTAACCAATAGTCATCAATTTAATCTCTTCCTACGTGTGGTTGATCTTCACGGGCAAAATCTAGATTACATTGTAAATTGTATGCGCGTGTGGTGCGCCAGTGCCGTTAGGGTCAGGTTGTGCTAGCCTTCGCCGTCTTGCTGATGTGCCTGACGGGATAGTGTACACGATCAAAATACCGGTGGTTTGTAGATCGTACCGCGCTGTGGCGTATTGGTTAAGGTGGCAGTGCGCGTATCTATCAGGTATTGCAGTTTTAGAAAAGAAAAAAACACTAAAGCAGAAAGAAATTCTTCCTTAGGCCCAACTGTACACAGAGGCTCTGCTTATACTGAGTTCGTCAAAATATTTCGAAGATGGAAAGCCTGATAAGGGTTTTCAACTAAGCCTGTTTTTTCATAAAGTGAAGAATGTCTGTATTGAAGTAGCGCAACAAGAAGTGTTAAAGTATTCAAACCAGCCCTTTTGCAGATGCCGCTCCAAGACTTCGACAAACAATATGAGACTGTTTTGAACTAGTAGTTTGTGTGTAGCAAGCCAATATTTAGGAAAGCATAACCGATTTGTCGAATAAATTTTCTGCTCGAAAAACACGAGTATCGATGGCACCTAGCTCGACTTTCGTAAACAAAACGCGTTATAAGATTCAATTTATTTTACTGACGACAGTTGTTTTCATCGAGGAATGTTGATAAAATTGCCTTCTCGTGACTCAAAATTCAAACAGCGCTACTAATTTCTCCTTGACTTAGTCGATAAATTGCAAGGAGGGTTAACGACAGACCTTTTTGACTCACATACCCCGTTTGTGCGTGTGGCGCTGATAAATTGGGCACAAGTAGTTTTTTTGTTGGAAAATGCTAGGAAATAAACTGGCGACAGGAATGCCAGAAATTATCGGCAATTTGGGCTGCTAACATAAGAAATAGGTGTTTTGGTTGCCTCGGGACAATTAAGATATTAACACCAACTTGATAATTTAGATGAAGTCGCTTCGAGGTGCACCAGTTCAAGTAGTCAAGGTTAACGAAGAAAATAAGGAACATGGCCTAGAATTGGATGAAAAAGCGCTGAAGCGCATACTTTGCAAACCTGAAGTGCTGCATAAGAAGGCTGTCGTCGTGTCAGTCGCCGGGGCGTTTAGGAAGGGAAAATCATTTTTGCTTGACTTCTTCTTGCGTTATATGACATCGGACGACCCCAATAACTGGATCGGAGATCCGACCGCCCCGCTTGTTGGTTTCCACTGGCGTGGAGGAGCAGATAGGGACACCTCTGGTATTCTTATGTGGAGTGAGCCATTCATTGTAAAATTACCAACGGATGAGGAAGTTGCCGTTCTTTTCATGGATACACAGGTACCAGCGATATTGTCTTTCAACTTTTGTCCAGGGTTCTTTCGATTCTACGAGTACAGTGAAGCAGTGCGCAACTATTTTTGCGTTGAGCACCATGCTGAGCAGTAAACAAGTTTACAACATCCAGGGCAATCTGCAGGAGGACAATTTGCAGCACCTTCAGTTTTTTACAGAATATGGACGCATTGCTATGGAGTCCGGATCTCATGAAACTCCTTTCCAGGTAATTCCAAAGAGGTTCTTTATTATTTCCAAGTTATCAGCCATCTGCACTTTGACAACTTGGTTGACTGGTGCCGTAGCCTAACAAAATAGGCCCCTGGTCATCTTACGTAATGTCTTAAATTCACTGCTTGACCATGTGCCTATGTTCTTATTTTTTTCTAATTGAATCTACGGGACAGGTATTACTTACTGGAAAGCGCTAGTGGTACTACCAGCTTTCCCTATATTCATATTAAGTTTTGCTCACCCTTGCCTGGTTAGTTTCTTGCAAAATAGTCGTTACGACCCTATAATACAATTCAGAATTCTAATTTTTCTTAAAAAAAACAGCCTACCTGCTCTTTTTTCCTGAGGGTGCGCTAATGCTTAATTTACCCAAATTGAAATCGGTACATTTCATTACATTCGTTAACTTCAGTAATCCACTACACACAACTGCCCTTATACATTTATTTACAGGTTATTTGTGGTATGCACTGCATTTTTAATGGTTGTTATTTGAAGAAATCCTTGGTAAACGCGAGTGGATGCTTACATCAGCACGCATTTAATTGTCTGCTCTGGTTGGTATTTGGTTTATTTCATTTGGCTTAGGATAATCAAGGTTTGCGTTAAACCAACTTGCTTAGTCCGCACCTGGATCCCCTGAAGGTCTGAAGTTCTGTGGTTTTTTTTATCACATCACCTTGGTTGTTCTTATTCCAAGTTTGTTATATTCTAAAAATCTCGTGAATTTCCGTATTTGAAACTCGATCTCCTTCGGCCTTTCTTCCCCAGTTCGCCCTGCTAATTTGGACCTTCTTATATAGGTCACATTACAAATATCTCCCTACGGAGTTCTGATTACACAATACACTTGTTCCACTAGTGATACCAGTCGCATATTATAACAACAGTTAGTTTTGTATCCTAGCATTTTGAATAACTTAGGTTTACGTAAATGACAGCCACACATTTACGAACGCTAACACTGGTCAGAATGCCGCTCGGGATTACTCGAGATCCCTGCACGTTCTTCCAGGAAATTAAATGAAAGTTACGCTCCATGACCATTTGTTATTTCGTAAATCCAAACTCCCCCTTGTACCATTGAGTATTTTTCCAAACTGTCTCTTGAATACTCATCAGGTAACTTGGAATCTTTTTATAACTAGGAACAATTTTATCCCCGTCTAGTACGGGGAATTAGGGCGTATTCGCAGCAGGTACTCTGTGCTCCATACTGCCGGAGCCTGCCCATCGTCCTGGATCGCCTGCTTTCTATCTGTCAATTATATCCACACAACTTCGTGATACAAATATCTGTAGGCGCTGTTAGTTGATCAGTTCGAACTTATGGTAATAAATCCAAATTTCTTCCTAGAAAATGAAATAAAAATGAATCAAAGATAAGTAGAAACAAGAAATATGTCAATTTGAAAATTAAATATTTCTCACTTTGGAGACTATATCAAAGTCGTAGTTAGAAACCAGCTCGTGCTATTTTGGTAGTCACAAAACCATTTTTCTCAAGGGTTTTCTTTTATTCTTTTCAGCATCTGGAATTCCTAATCCGAGATTGGAGTTACCCCTACGACTATCCTTTCGGCAGCGATGGTGGCATGTCTCTTTTAAACAAACGCCTAGAGGTACTTTATTCTTTGCTCTGTGGTATTTTTTCCTCCATTGCTTTACCCATAAAATGCGATGCGAATTAGCTAAGTGTTTTCTGTTTTCCTTTAAGATCATTTATACTTTTCGTGTCATGTATTTTTTGTACCGGATTATGTTGTAGTCGATAACGGTAGTTGGCAAACTCTCCACGAAGATACATCATTTTCTAGCACCTGTTCAGTCTATATAACATTGACCATCTAACGCGCCTCCAACATGTAACCAAAATTAGGCAGAATATGATGCGCTAACCAGATTACAGCTCCAGGAAAGTTAGTCAGCGTTAATACATCGATATATAAGCACTAGTCGCAGTAAATAAGCGACACCGAAAACCTTTGCATAAAAACAAGTACACCAAACCAACCTCACGTGGTGTTCTTCATTATCGTTAGTTTCTAGACTGGTTTTAGATCAACTGTGATCATGTTGCGTACTCTGTTATCAAGATAGTAGGAAATAATTTAGTTTGCTATAATATAACAAAAAAAAGTTGTAACAAAACGCGATGCCGGTATCAAAAAGCCTACCAGTTGAGACGATTTCAGTTGTCTTGCGATGCAGTGATCTTCTGATAAGAAATATTACAATAAGCAAGACGCATCGTTTGTAGAAGGTGCATTAATATTTGCTAACCTTATTCCTACCTGATTCCCTATTGTGGGTGTCACTCCTACAGGTTTGGTTTGCATTCATATGCAAGCATCTTTATTCAGTCTCGCCTCCAGACGGTAATACGATTCCACACAAGCTTAGCCCACAAAGGTGGGTAGGCATACCAAAGTGGCTTTGAATTAGAAAACGAACAGACTGATTCCTGACCCAAACAGGTCTGCTGTGCCAACAATACGATTTTTGTTGGATAAATATAGTAACCGATCATCCTTATTATTTATTGGTTTTGCCATTTCAGATATTACAGCGGAGCTCTCTATCTTTTTGTTAAAGTTTACCTCTGGAAATCAGAAAAAGACTTTTGATTTGTGGCTCAAAAATCTGAATTGGGATCATGTGTAACTTTTAGCCAGACATTGCCATCACTTCTGATGGCATCTAAAAATGACAGTCAATGACCCCTGACTTCGTTAGGAGCTTGATGCATATTTTCAGGCACCGTACCATGAAAAAAAATAGTACGCCATATTTTGTAAGGTAAAAAACGGCTTTCAACTGCGGAAGTATCGATTTCTTCCAGTTTGACAAGTACCATCTGACTTTTGTCGTCAGACGCCATAAGTTTCCGCTATCTGTCTGCTTGGAGTTCTCCATAATTTGTGCTAGACTTCAGTCCGGTCCCTACTTCCGTGATGTCAGACCGCATGTAGTTAAATTCTGCTATCATGATTGCGTCGGTTGAGATACCTAAATGCGAGCGAGTTAACTGGTTTCTTCAGATGCTTGCGACCCATACAAGTTCCTGCACTTAACTTGGTTCATGTTCCTCACTTACACGAGGATTTACGTAGACTTAGTTATACTTTCTTGACCTCGTGAACAGTTTATTCTCAATAATTACCGCACCTTCTACCTCCCCCCCCCCAGATCACTCCTGGAATGCATCCAGAACACGTTTCCCTTCGAAACCATATCGTGTCGTGTTTTTCGCGTCTCCGTTGCTTTCTGATGCCACACCCTGGCTTGCGGGTGTCCACCAATCCGAACTTTGATGGTCGTGTTGCAGAAATTGATGCGGAGTTCGTGGAGCAGCTAGGGCGCTTCGTGCCCCAACTCCTGTCGCCGGCCAACCTTGATGTGAAGATGATTCATGGCCAGGCAGTTACTTGTCGTGACCTCATGGAGTATTTCAAGGTGTACGTTAAAATCTACCAAGGTGACACCCTTCCAGAACCCATGTCAACTCTACAAGCTACGGCCGAGGCGAACAATCTGACTACCCTTATCCGCTGCAAGGAGCAGTACATTCGGCAGATGAACGAAGTAAGAATTCGTTCGCTATGCATGGTATAAGGCTCGATCTTGACAGCTTATGGTCTGATACCTTTTTTATTAGGTAGCTATCTGCAATATAGACAGAAATGTAGCAGAAGGAATCTTG